TTTTTTTTCAATTTAGTACAGTGAGGACAACACAAATGATGATAATTTATTAAGTGCTCACCCCTCAGTGGATTATACACACCCATCTTACATCAGCTTACTTTTTACTGATCTCGGAATATTGATGCCGTCAGCTGTAAGTGATGAGTTAATAAAATTGTATTTGTGAATGTTTACATCTGGTATGTTGATAAAATTATATTAACAAAAATGTAATATTTTGTTAAATAAAAAATAAAAATAAAGATAAACTTGAATAATAATCTTATAAATTATACCATTTATCGTGTTAAAAATTATGTTTTTGTCATAGTAAAAATAACCATAGTTGCCTATAGCCTATACAATTTCCATATAAAATATTTTTCAATTTAAATGTTAAGTGCAAGGCCCTTGAATTTGCGAGGCTTTGGACAAATTCGCTGCTTTGATCTTCTCCCTTTCTCCCTTTACACATGTCCTGTTTTTTGTATGAAATATATCATATTAAATTTTTCATTTGGAAAATGTCTAAATGTCTGCATCGTGTGATTACTGCTAATATGGCAATAAGGGCCATTGCCTTATCTATTTGCCTTACAATCTATAATGCCACTAGTATAAGCTATTTATTCTAACCATAATTCTAATAAATTTTTAATCAATTATTTGATTATAATATCATTGAATACCTGTAATGTTCATTTATAGGTAATGTATAATATAATATTCTCAATGATAACAATATTATTATGAAATACCAAAAATCAATACAACTTTGATGTACCTGATTTGCCTATCTAGATCGCCGTGTGATTATGATAAAGTTTAAATATACCAAGGGGATTTTATGCTATTGTTTTCAATAGATACGCTTATACGCTTTCTAAACTACTGATTTGTTTTACTACACCGGTCAAAATTTCGAAAATATATGTATTTAAATTTATCTGAAGTTTAATTCGAATCCTTCGACAGCGAACGGAGTAAGCATTAGATATGCACGTGGCATAAAATGCCTAAATCGAAATTCTTTAAATGACAAAATGTTATACATTAAATCTAACGAATTCCAACACACCGATAATAATCTTAAAAGCCGATTTTATCTTGTTATCAAGAAAACTTTGAATCCTTAAAGCCACATTTTTATTTTTAAAACAAAAAATCAATAGAAAAAAAGTTTTACATTTTATGTTTATGACTGGTGTTTAAAAATATATTATGTATTATAATATAATTTTTTTTTTTATGGTTAAGGCTTCGACAACTGAGGTCATTAACCTGAGGAACTGTAGGGGAAGGAACTGTAAGGTTTTAACTCGTGGGTTTTTGGCAGAATTTTGAATGGGCACCCGTGGGTTTYTGCCATGCYYGGTTRGGGGYCGGCGGCCTCTCTCTCCAGACATCGCGAAATGCCCAAAGAGTGATGCCGCCCATGACCGAGATTCGAACCGGCGACTGCGTGCGTCGCAACCGACGCCTTAGTC